CCCCCCCCGGCAGCGGCATTAAAGCCGGCGGTCTTCTTAATCAGTTGTTTAAGTATCTCGAAATTAAAGACGTTAGTGCTAAAATAATTGGTTCGCGGAATAAATTGAACGTTGTACGAGCCGCTTTCCTAGCTTTGGATAAGTTAACAGGTAAAAAGTATGATTACTAAAAAATTAGGCAATAATATTACAAAGTTAAAAATTAAATGGTTAGTATTTTAAATCTCTAACTTCTTATTACTAGGGAATGATTGATTGACATTAATTATTAACAAAATAATATGCTAAAAAAATGTTAGTTCCTTATTCAACCAAATCCCTTGAATACTAGAAACTAGACAATTTTGCATTTTATAATAATATAAGTTTAATCATTTTGTTATTTTAGTTTTGGCCTAAAAAAATATGCAATGCCGAGTTCTCTAACCACTGCCAAAGATATTAACCAGAAATAAGTCACCAAAATTCATAGCCGACAATATTCAAAATGCTTCTTTTTTGTTTGCTAGTTAATGTAAACTTATAATACAGCATAAAACTTATAAAAACTACATGATAATAGAAAAAATTATTACCCAAGCCGGGCCGGGAGCAGGAATGGGTAATTTACATGCCGACGCCCGTAGCAATTCTTTCAACTTTTCTGTTATTCCTTTTGATTATCGAGGGGAAAAAATTAAAGCCATAAAAATAATTGGGGGCAACCAAGAACATTTTAGTTATTATGTAAATAATCACAGCGGAAAAAAATTACTAGCAATTAATTTTGATGCGGAAAAAGCGAAAGTAATTGATTGGGTTGATACTGCCTTTCCTTTTCTAGACGGGAGTTATAAAGTAAAAAAATGGTTAGAGTTGACAGAAACCGGAGTGGGGCAATGATGGACACCAAGCGAGGATTTTTCTTTTCAAATTAACGATCTGTACGATAACAGTTGATATGAAAGGCCAAGAAATTGAGAATTAGAGTTAGGAATAACCAGGAAGAAATTAGCTGTCGACGCTTTTTCTCCCACTATTAAAACCATTAAGTTGATTTTTTCCAACCAGGAGGAACTTAAAGAATATGTAAAGCAAGTTAAAGAAAAATGAAAAAATGACACCACCAAAGAGTTTATTATTCAAGAAATTGATTGAAATAATGTTCTTCTGAAGGAAGGCGGGGAGGATTTATGATTAAAAAATTTTGGTGAATTAGAGGAAATAAAAAAAATCTCCGATACCAACCCTACTACTCCGTTAAAACCCTCCCGCGAAAGCCCCTATTCAACACCAACCATTTCCGATGATGAGGATTCAGAGAGAGAGAATGGTAATGGTTCACATACTTCCTCTCGCCGTTCTTCTGTTTCCAAAACTGACCCCAAGCCAACGGGAGATAACAATTTTTCGTCCTTGGGAAAAAATATTTTAATAGGCTTGGCAATAGTGACAGCAGTCGGTGGTGGCTTGGCTTTTTTTT